CAGAAAGAGTCCTTTTCTAAGAATTTATCCTACAGATATATTTAACCATGTGCAAAATGACATATAGCGAAGGTAGTGACTTCAGCTTTGATATATCAAAAGTCTAGAAACAATCTATATGGCCATCATGATGTGACTAGTTAAATAAATTATCATATATCCACTCAACAAAATATTATACAGTCATAAAAATTGAGAATGCTCTTTTACTAACAATGTGGAATTATTTCAAATGTAAAATAAAACAAACATGTGAAGAGTATGCTACCATCCATATAAAAAGAAAGGTAATATCCACGTATGTATTTGCTTGTGTATGCATAAAATACTTTACGAAAGATATACATATACAATTCAGATAGCACAGTTTGCCTTCAAAGATGGGGAGCTGGATGCCTAAGGAACAAAACAGTGTGTGATAATGTACATGCGTGCATGTACATAAGAAGAGATTTTCAGTAACTTTTCAGTTTCCAAACCATTGTGTTTTCTATTCAAATATACATCAAAATATATATCAAAAATATTTTTTAAATAAGGAATGAATGAGTCATAAGATTGTGAGAAGAACAGTGTACAGAGACCTGAATTCTAGTCCTGAATTTACCAATAACCATTTACCTCCTCTTCCGATCAATCTCCCTCTTCCCCGCTTTATCACACTCCATGCATTTTTCACCAAAGTATGCAGGTTTAAAAAGGTTCATATGTGAGGATTCTGAACAATTACATGTCTCTATATAAAAGGCTGGGTTCATGTTCCTGTTGAAACAAATTCTGGCCAAACAAGCAGCAACATTGTAAGGCGCACAGCGCGCTGAAAAGGAGTAATCTCTCTTCCCGCCCCTAGATGGGGTCAGTAGCTATGATCAGGTACATTTGCCAAGTTAGAAACCCGCTCTAGAGAGGAGGCGGGTGGGAGGATGGGTTAGCCTGGTGATGGATATTAAAAAGGGCACGCTCTGCATGGAGCACTGGGTGTTATGCACAAACAATGAATCATGGAACACTACATCAAAAACTAATGATGTAATGTATGGTGATTAACATGACAATAAAAAATTTTTTGAAAAAGAAACCCGCTCTAAGGGACACAGGGCCTTAGAGTCAAAGAAATGTAGAGCTAGAAAGAGCCAGGGTGTTCAGCCCAGCTTCCATATTTTACAGATGTGGAAAATGATGTCCAGCTAGTCAGAGTGTGAAGACTGACGTGGTGAACACTGGAACCCACATCTCATTATTCCCAACCAGTCCTCTTCACCAAATACTTTAATAAGCCAAAAACCTAAAACTCAGAATTTGGGGAAACTAAGTTCAATCAGGCTAGGCTTAGTTATCACTTTACACTTTTCTAAAGTTACATGACTATGGGCAGGATGGGTCTCTAAATATTCTACTAAAGGCGATTGTTAAGTTCACAGAACTATTATGTAGTTCTTTCAAGTACCTAATTTTGAAATAGTCAACAAATTTCCTCATTTTAGTGACTAAAATATTGCACAACACATGACTCGTTCAGAAATAAAACCTCTCCCCCATTTTCATTTCCCATTTAACATAGGCAATTCCTAACTTGAAATAATATGGGTTAACTTTTTGTTGTTGAGATGTTTGGAAATGACCTAAATGTCCAAAAATAATGGATCATTTAGTAAATCTGAGGCAGCTCTTGTGATGATATTTTTAATAATTCCGAGTAGACAACACAATGTAGTCGTTTTAGGGCCATGCTGCCTGGCCACGTCCTGGTCCACCACTTACCAGCCCTGTGACCTCGGGCAAGGTTCTTACCCTCTTCCAGCCTTGGTTTCCTTGTTATCAAATAGGGATAAAAGTAGTACCTACCTCACCGGGTTGCTGAGAGAAGTCAATGAATCAAAGTGTAAAGTGCTCAGAATGGTTATCAGTATATAGTATCTGAGGGCAATGAAGCTCCTTAGTTCTCCCTTAAGTGTTGGCTCCTTTAAAAAAGGACGCTTGTTAGCCTGAGGTAATTTGTAATTGGGCCTCCTGAGCTCAGAATAAAGCGGGAGAAAAGTCAAGCAAAATGTTTAGGGAGGCTAGCCTGCTACAGTGAGTGGTCTCTGAACTGTTTTGGAGTTCGCAACTTCTACCCTTCCTTCACTTCTTTTTTTTTTAAAGATTTTACTTATTTATTTGAGACAGAGAGAGCATATGAGAGGGGTTAGGGTCAGAGGGAGAAGCAGACTCTCCGCCGAGCAGGGAGCCCGATGCGGGACTCGATCCAGGGACTCCAGGATCATGACCTGAGCCGAAGGCAGTCGCTTAACCAACTCAGCCACCCAGGCGCCCCTTCCTTCACTTCTTAACTACAGGGTACTCTACACACGTTTTTTTCTCCAAGATGGAATGGTGGTGACTGGCAGAGAAGGATGTTAGGGGACAAAAGCAGCCAATTATAAGAACAAGTTTCTTAAAGTATGGTATTTGCTTTCCTGTTCAAATCTGTTGGAAGGGAGGAAGTCAGAGAAATGAATGGCCCTCCCATTCTTCTGCAATTTGAGTTCAGTTCTCTTACTTCAGAGCAAATGCAGAACTATTGGGGGCAGACCTTGCATTCTCTCCTTTCTTCTTTACTCAAATGCGCCTTTACTCCTACTAAGTGTCCAGGGTGAGATCATTCTTAAAGCACGGATTCCTGATTACCCCTTGCAGCCAAGGCTAGACCTGTGGAAAGTACTTAGGGCTGCTGGTGAAGGGAGCCATCCTTGACCTTCATGGAAACCTGGGCGACAGCTACTTCTCAGTCCTGTAGTAAAACTCTATCCTTTCTGTTTCTACAAGTCTTCGGATCACTGTGGAAATCTTTATTGCAAATAAACCCTCCCTTCTCTTGATCTTTGGACAACAAGGCTACGGTTGATCAGAGAGGCTACATGAACACAGACTTAGGAGGGCAAGGTTCAAGCATATCCCGTGACTTGCACAGTAAGGGCTCAAAATGTGCTTGTTGAATAAACAATACAGGTATAAGGAGGTATGCTTGTGTTCTGGAACAGTGACCATTTATTGTATTTAATATAATAGCCATAATCACATCAGGATCTTATAAAATCATCAATCTCAGTCAGATTAAGCAAAAAGGATACAATTTTATGGGCCTGAGATGACTAGTGGATACAGGAGAGGCACAAGACCAATATTACCACTTTCTAGCTGTGTGATTCTTAACATGTAATCGAACTTCTACAAGTTTATTTCCTTATCTGTAAAAGGGGATTAAAAGTTACAGCTACCTCATGAGCTATTTCAAGAATTAACTTTAAAAACAGTGAAGCACGATGCAAATGTTCTGGATATTCTTAGTTATCTAACATAAGTGCACACTCTATGAGTATACATATCTCTGTTAACTACATAGAAGTTGTTAAAGAAAAGCTTTTAGAGATAATGTGAGCTATCACTTGACATCTGTCAGACTGGCTAGTATCAAAAGAACAAGAAATAACAAGTGTTGGTGAGGATGTGAAGAAAATGGAGCCCTCCTGCCCTGTTGATAGGAATGTAAATTGGTACAGCCACTAGGGAAAACAGTATGGATGTTCCTCAGAAAATTAAAACTAGAGCTATCACATGACCCGGCAATTCCACTTCTGGATACTTATCAGAAGAAAAGGGCAAACCAATCTGAGGAGATCTATGCACCCCTATGTTCTCTGCAGCACTCTTTACAATAGCCAAGATATGGAAGCAACCTAAGCGTCCATCCATAGGTGAATAGATAAAATTAGATGTCATTTATATGTATGCATGTAGATATAGATATAAAACACGGAATATTACTCAGCCATAAAAAAAGAATGAAATCCTACCATTGTCGCAACATGGATGGAATGTAGAGGGTATAATGCGAAGGGAAGTCAGAGAAAGACAAATACCATATGATTTCACTTATGTGTGAAATCCTAAAACCAAAACAATGGACAAACAAAATAAAACAAACAGATTCATAGATACAGGAAACAGTTGGTTTCCAGAGGGGAGAGGGGTTGCGGGGCAGGTGAAAAGGGCAAAGAGGATTCAGAGGTACAAACTTCTAGATAAAAAATAAGTCATGAAGGTATAATGTACAGCATTGGGGATATAGCCAATAATATGCTGTAATTTTGTATGGTGATAAATGATAGCTAGACTTATGGGGATCATTTCATAATGTATAAAAATATAGAATCACTATGATGCACCCCTGAAGATGATAGGATATTATATGCCATTATACTTCACTGATAAATAGATAATAAAGGTGCTCAGAAGCACTGAACACAAGGTTAAATCAGAAAGGAGTATCAGCAGCCCAAGAAAAATCAACCTGGGTAGGTTCACTGTGCTGAGAACTGGAAAAATGAATCTGTGATCGGACAGTCCTAACCTAGGACCGCTGGGTTTGCAGGCGAGCAGAGTTGCACCCACCGCGCACACTCTTTTCCCTTTACCTGGCGCCCCGCCCCTGCTTTCCCGGCTCCCCTCCTCTCTCTGCTCCACTCCGGGGTGCCCAGCCCGCTCCCCCTCCTTCGCCCGTCTTCAGGACCTCTCTGCAGAGTCCACTCTGACCCTTCGACCTACGGCTGGCAGGCCCAGCATTAGCACTCCCCTAGAAACCCTTTCACCCCAACCTTCAGAAAACGAAAGACCGAAAAAGCCCGAGAGGAGGGGGGGTTCCGGGGGCTGCGGGTCGCCCTGGAGCGGGCATGCGCGGAGGCCGCAGCGGCCTGCGAGCCGGGGAGGAGCGGGGACGGCTCGGCC